AAAACATACATATTTCATATAAAAAATCTAGTGGCTCACTTTACCTTTAACTTGATCACAATCTTGTAAGTGCCTAAATGTTTAAGGATGGATAAATGCAATCTTACCCATGGCGGGTGACGCATATCTTCGCACATGTTGTTGTCATGCAGCAGCAGGTGCAGAGTTTGCTTGGATTCTGGTCATTTGCAGTAATTGGCCCGAGCCGAGCGACTGTGGTGAGCCCTGTTGTTTTGGACAGAGCACACACAACCTGAACTGAACCGACAGATTTCCACAGCCTGCAGATTTGCATTTCAGATGTCATTTCACGTTTGATGCAGGGACTTTTTTTCTATTCCATTCCATTCAATGTATTCTTGTGTAGCTCTAAAACACAACAGGAGTTATCTCTGAGGACTTTACACTACCTTTGAATTTGCCAACACAGATCAGAGAATCAAACCGTTCAAACACGAAAAATAGAACAGATAAAGTGAAGGTATTCTTGGGTTTCATTAAACTGGCCAGTAGGGAGCGAATAATAATAATAATAATGATAATAACTTTATTTATAGAGCACTTTAAAAACAACACAGTTGACCAAAGTGCTGAACACAAGTAAAAACACAATATAATATAGAAACATATACAAGAATACAAATTGCACAGAGAGTCAACCCACTGAGTTAAAAGCCAAAGTAAAAAGATGAGTCTTAAGAAGCGACTTAAAAACAGGAAGTGAGTCCGCCAGTCTAATATGCAGAGGCAGACCATTCCACAGTCTGGGGGCTGCTGCTGCAAAAGCCCGATCCCCTCTCGACTTCTTTCTGGTCTTAGGGATCACTAAGAGAGCCTGGTCTGCTGATCTTAGAGCCCGTGACGGAGTGTGGGGCACAAGCAGATCAGTCAGATACTGAGGGGCCAAACCACGCAAACATTTGAACACAAATAACAGAATCTTAAAATCAATACGAAGGTGCACAGGGAGCACCTTCGAACAAAGAACAAAAGAACAAAGAATAGGGGTGATGTGGTCAAATTTGCGCGTTCCAGTTAAGAGTCTGGCAGCAACATTTTGGATTAATTGAAGGCGTGAAAGTGAGGTTTTACTGAGTTGCAGTAATCTAAACGAGAGGTAATAAAAGCATGGATGGATTGGTGTGAGCAGAGATGGGACAACTCAGTTTCGCTTCCATTGAAAACCATGTAAATCGTGTCAGTTTTGGAGTCAAAAGGCTCTCCTCCTGTGCGGTGTACGGTTGTTGTAACTGTCTTAATCAGGGACACTCAATTCTAAGGAAGTACTAACAAATATTTCTCAAGAGTCTTGATTTTGGGCATTTTTGGACAGAAAAACAGAAGAAATTGCTGCGTTTCATTGGGGTGGCCTGCAGGGGGCGCTTATCTGGGAAAGCCTCGATCCACCTCGCCCGCCTCATTCCAGTGATTTTTTCAGCGTGTCCTCCTTTATATGAGACACAGTTGGAACATGAACAAACTCTTGTCTTTCTCTCTATTTGTGCGGTTGCTACAAACGTACACCGCACAAAAAGATGGCATTTTGACAGCGCTTCTTCTTCTACTATATCTCCGTGTATAAACCCGGCAGACTGCTCCGCCAGGATACGTCACGTCCTGTCCTACGCTTGTTATTCGTGCCACTGCCCTGACGTCATATGAAACCCAAGAATAGGTTCATAGAGGGTCAAATGACTAATGTCGATAAGTGTTGTTGAATGTTAAATGTCCTGGATCATCACCACTGTCCTTTTAGTTAGACCTCACACAATTCTTTCTCTGATACGGTTGACACGTATAACTTTTATAGTAAAAATCCATTTCGAGAAAGTAAGAGGGCACTTAAGCTAAACGTCTCATAAGTTGTCTTTTTTTGGCTGAATCTAGACTAGCAACGGAATGTTTGTCATTAGTTGTTTGAGTTGTTTCTCGGATAAGTTACACTTTTTGTCATAGTTTGGCCAAATGATTTGTGTGAGCTTATTACGTTTACATTTTATTTACCGTAAAATATCATATAATAGCCCGGGTTATTGAGTTGAGCGATCAAGCTGTTAAGAAGAGAGATACGTGTACCACATGTATCTATTTGTATTGGCGAATGTATTTCAAAACTAGGGGTGGGAACATAAGTGTACCTCACGATACAACACACGATACAAAGCTCACGATAACGATATTACGATAACGATTTTATCACAATATGATGATTATTGATATATTGGTCAGAAATATACAATATGCCAATTTATGGCATAAATAAAAGAAAAATTACTCTATTTCATGATAAATGGAATGGAGATGCGTAATGTAGCCATATATTAAGTATTGATACCAATTTTTTAAAAAAATAGATTTTTTTTTTTTTTTTTAAATCGATATTGATACTTGGCAAATGCATATCGATAATCATATTGCGGGAGAAAGTATCGCGATATATCGAAAAATCGATATAAATAAAATGTGCCTCATACAATACGGCAGTTGATGTTTATAAATTAAGGAGCAAAACTCTTTCTATTTCAGTAACGTGGATGAATGGCAATAATATGGGATTGTGCCGTATGTATCGTGAAGCGGATCATATCCCCATGTCATAGTCAAGGTATACTTAATGTTCCTAAGCCACGCAGCCAGGCTCGTCCCTGATATTATGGAAATAGTTTGACACAAAACACACATGACCTCAGATATTTTCATCTGCCGTTCAAACAAATGCCTGCTTTACAAGTCAAAGGGACATCAGGCCCATCCATCCACCTGCCCTCATCTTTTCACCTTTATACCGTGTGTCTTTTTGTCTACATATTTACTTGTCTTGTTTTATTTGACGTTTTGTTGTTATCACAAGAGTTCCAGTTGTGATTTAATAGATTCAACTTTATTTGTATGGCGCTTTTCCAACACAAGGCCACTCAAAGCGCCTCACAACCCACATAATATCAGACAAATCAGAAACATCAAAATCTACATATACAAACAATAAATACATTAAAAACAGAATAAAATCACAAGTAATGAAAAAACCTTAAAACATTAAAAACACACACGGGATTAAAATAATAAATAACTACAATGCATTAAAAAAGAGTATGTATCAATAAAATCCTTCAGCCGTATGCACAGCTAAAAAGAACAGTTTTTAACCCTGATTTGAAAATTGCCAGAGTAGGTGCTAGCCTCACATCTTCAGGAAGATTGTTCCAGATTTTAGCTGTATAAATCTCAAACGCTGCCTCCCCATGTTTAGTTCTGACTCTTAGAACCAGTAAGAGGCAACCTCCTGTGCTCCTCAGAGTCCGGGCCGGTTCATATGGGACTAACAAGTCGCTTAAGTACTTTGGTGCGAGGCCATGGAGAGACCTGTAACTAGCAGCGCTGCTTTTAAGTCTATTCTCTGAGCCACAGGAAGCCAGTGCAGAGACCTGAGGACTGGACTAATGTGGTCGTACTTCCTGGTTCTTGTCAGGACTCGAGCTGCTGCATTTTGAATGTACTGCAGCTGTTTTACAGCCTGTTTGGAGAGACCTGTGAGCAGGCCATTGCAGTAGTCTAACCTACTGGAGACGAATGCATGGATGAGAATCTCCAGATCTGATTTAGACACTATGTTTCTAATTTTGGCAATGTTTTTCAGATGGTAAAATGCTGCTGATGTTACTGATTTGATGTGACTGTTAAAATTTAAGTCTGAGTCCAGTATAACTCCTGTTATATATAGACAACAGAATTCATACATAAACACACGGCCTTGCTCTTTCCCAGATTATTTTCTTTTGTACAGTTTTGTAAACTATTCACTTCTCATACACATGGGGAGCAAAGGAGTAGGAATAAGATTTAAGGAATAAGACTTATTTAATCCCACCCCATTTTCTGTTTTGGCAAGGCAATTATATTTGTATAGCACAATTCATACACAAGGCAAATCAAAATGCTGAACAAAACAAGATAGAAACAGTCACACAAGACATTAAATCATAATAATCACAGTACATTAAAAAGAAAGATAAAATTATACAATCCCTCAGATATTTGCACAGTTAAACAGAAATGTTATTAAGCTGGATTTAAACATTATCAGAGAAGACCTGTCTCACATTTAAGAATGTACTGCAGCTGTTTTACAGCCTGTTTGGACAGACCTGTGAGCAGCCATTGCAGTAGTCTAACCTACTGGAGACAAATGCACGGATGAGAATCTCCAAGTCTGCTTTAGACACTGTTTTTGATCCTGATAATGTTTTTAGGTGAAGCTTCTGAAGTTACTGATTTGATGTGATTAAAATTTAAGTCCGAGTCCAGTATCGCTCCTAGATTTCTGACCTCATTTGAAGGTTTTAGGGAGAGAGACTGTAGAGTGTCATCTGCGTAGTTGTGGTAGAACACGTCGTTGCACATCAGCTTCTCTGCTACTGCAAACTTAAAGAGAGCAAGAATTGATACATGCAAGAAAACTAAGGAAAACCATTAGTATCACAAGTCTGACTAAAACCTTTGTGGCTTGTTTGCACTAGAAAAAACTAACTCATCTGCAGCTTTCGTGAGTGCAGGTGGTTAGAATAGTGGTGAGGGGTTTTACAGCCTTTAACGGAAATCAACTCTACTCAGCTTATTGTGGGTTATTTTGAAAACTTAACCGCCATGACAAATGAGGGACCCTTGTATGTGCACATGGAGTGGAAAATCACGCTCACGTAAAAAAGATCATTCACCACACCGCAAAACATCAAACAATAGTTGAATTGAGTTCTTTTTTACAACCATCTAACAAGATGTGCCAAGGTTTGATTTGTTGAAGAAGAAACTGATACATAAATTGCAAAACCACTTGAAATATGAATAAAATGCCTGTTCCATTGGGAAATTTAGGGCAGTCATAATGTACTCGATGCAAGATGACGATAACTTGAATTGGATCATTTTTGCAGTGCATGATCTGGATGAAATGCTAATGTACAGTGTATTCATGTGCTTTCCTCTGTCCGGTTTGTGTCCAGTGTGGAGAGCCCTTCAAAGCTGAGGACCTTGTGGTTCTCAACGGCACAAAGGAGGAGGTGGACAAGCTGAGGCAGAACATGGAAGAGAAGCGTGCAAAGGCTAAAACTAAAGTATGTTTGTTTTGTACCGTACATTAATGTAGTATATTTAGTTCTGTATTACTTTTCTCTAAAAGTGTTACTGTTATGCATTACACAAACTGTTACTGTTTTTTAAAGTAATTTTGTCTCTGTTACTAGAGTAAAAGTTGCCTCACAAAGTTCTTACTGAAGTCTAACAACCAAAACGTTTCCAATGGACTCGAATTTAAATGTTTGTTTCGCATTAATACATCTGGTCATCAATGCAAAGCAGACACGTGTTCACCAGACAGCTACGTTAACAGTCACTTTCACACAAGTACCAGGATACTCATGCACCAGGACACTCATGCACCGGGACACTCATGCACCAGGACACACATGCACCAGGACACTCATGCCCCAGGACACACATGCACCAGGACACACATGCACCAGGACACTCATGCACCAGGACACTCATGCACCAGGACACTCATGCACCAGGACACACATGCACCAGGACACACATGCACCAGGACACTCATGCACCGGGACACTCATGCACCAGGACACTCATGCACCAGGACACACATGCACCGGGACACTCATGCACCGGGACACACATGCACCAGGACACACATGCACCAGGACACACATGCACCAGGACACACATGCACCAGGACACTCATGCACCGGGACACTCATGCACCAGGACACACATGCACCAGGACACACATGCACCAGGACACACATGCACCAGGACACACATGCACCAGGACACACATGCACCAGGACACTCATGCACCAGGACACACATGCACCAGGACACACATGCACCAGGACACTCATGCACCAGGACACACATGCCCCAGGACACTCATGCCCCAGGACACACATGCACCAGGACACACATGCACCAGGACACACATGCACCAGGACACACATGCACCAGGACACACATGCACCAGGACACTCATGCACCAGGACACGCATGCACCAGGACACACATGCACCAGGACACACATGCACCAGGACACACATGCACCAGGACACACATGCACCAGGACACGCATGCACCAGGACACTCATGCACCAGGACACGCATGCACCAGGACACTCATGCACCAGGACACACATGCACCAGGACACACATGCACCAGGACACTCATGCACCAGGACACACATGCACCAGGACACACATGCACCAGGACACACATGCACCAGGACACACATGCACCAGGACACACATGCACCAGGACACTCATGCACCAGGACACACATGCACCAGGACACACATGCACCAGGACACACATGCACCAGGACACTCATGCGTGCTCAGGCCAATCCGTTCACGCTCCACATAACGGGACCAAACCTTCAAATAGACCGTAGTTCTGTCATCATCTTCTTTTATCAACATTATTTTACTATTGCTAAAATATGATGCATTCTCAAAACACAAATTTCTTGTGATTAGAAGGAGATCGTCTGAAGTGTCGGTGACACAACGACATCAGCAGAAAGTCATATGCTCCATTGTCAGTTTGTTACAGAGAAAGGACTTGGATCAATAGATCAATAGAATTCTCCTCAGACAACAACAGTTAATGAAGCTACGGAGTAAATGCTGTTACTTCTAACACTGTATATTTTATCTATTTATGTTACATTTGATCAGTCTTTAACCGTGAATTATTAACAGTTGGATGTTTTAAATTTAATAATCAAAAGTTTTATTTTACTAAGGAATATTTCTCCCTCAGAAATCCAAAAAGACTAAAGCAGCAGAAACCGTGGCTGCACCACTGGAATCTAACGGTTTGTGGTTTTACCCATTTTTCATTGTTATAAAATGTAGAAGATTATTGTTGATTAAACCTTTCTTTCTTTTCCGTTGTAGATGAAACGAGCTCAACAAAAGCAGGAAGTATTGTCGAGAATGGAAATGTTACAGGCAGTGATTCAGGTAATATCATGATACAAACACAACAAAAATGTAGCTTATAATGAAACATTTTTACTGATATTATGGTAAAGAAGTTAAAAACACTAACACTGCAAACCATTCTGCCAACCACAGAAAATATGAAAATAAACTTGGAATGATATATTTGGTCAAAATAAATGCAATTGTTCGTTGGCTTTTCCAATTGATAAGTGTGTGGCCATACCTGCATGCGAAAGCTAGATCCACTGAAGTTAAGCAGGTCAGGGCCTGGCTAGTACTGTGACGTGAGACCTCTGAGAACACCAGGAGTCACTGTTGGGCAGTTGTGGCTGTACAGTGCCACACTGTGGTTGTGTTGTTAGGCAAGACACTGCAGCCGCATTGCCTAGAATGTGTCAGGTGCGTAAGTGAATGGTTGATGGTGGCACTCCTGTCAGTGTGCCTCAGGGCAGCTGTGGCTACAATAGTTTATCACCATTGTGTATGGATTGAAAGAATAATGACACGTGAAACATATTTGAGTGTCCTTAAAAGCACTAGATAAAACTGATGTATTATTATTATTATTATTGAATATAATGACAATAAATTTCGCGTTTTCACTATTTTGTATGAAGCAAAAGCATTTTTGCATGACTTTAACCTCTTTACTCCAACCGGCGCGCCGGCGGCCGTTTTTATGTTTTTAAATGTTCTGCTGGCAATAGCAGATGTATTTTGAACACCAAACCCCAAAAGCTGTATATCATTTTAAAGCTTATTTTCTTATCTACATTTATATACAAGTGTAAACTACATCAGACTTTGCATTCAAAAGATATAACACATAATGTGGGCACAAAATAAATCAATTCCAAAGTAGTTTTTTACCTTTGGGCTTGTGCTGTACAAATAAATCAGCTCTCCTCCCAGCTTGCAATACATCATTCTCTCTGGAACAGTCCAAAGGAAAATTATATCCACTTGTATTTCCCAAAGTAAAATCCATTCTGCAGAAATAATCCAAAAATGTGCATTTATCTTTAGCAAAAAAACCAAAAAAAAAGAGCACAGATGTTACTCTTTCACTTTTAACGGACTTTTAGCTTTGTTTTTCACCCAAACATCTGGTATCTACGTGTTCCTTAGCTCCTTATCTTTCAAATGAGACTACTCCCGAAAAGCTAGACCAATTTTTGGGTCTGCAAGAGGTCCCGCAGCTAGTGTTGCTGTTTGCGCATTGATCACTGATCTTTGTTGTGATCCCAACTTGTTTGCTTTTACTTCCGGGATTTACGATTGACATGTCCTTGTAGCCAATGAGGAAAGCTTTCGAACAAGGGGTGGGACAATGGTGTCCTGTCTTATGTCCTTTTTTAGGGCCTTTAGAAATTGAAAATGTTAGGCGAGGCTAAAAAAATTGGGTTTTTTTCCCTAACTTCAAAGGATGCAGAGGAAAATAGGAATGACAAACATTATTTTAGTGTTTAAAACTAAATTAAAATGATGCATCACACAAGCATGTGAGATGTAAGATGTGTTTTTAAATAAGCAAAGACATTTGGGTATGCCAAACTTTTGTGCACGAGCCAAAATGAGGCGGGTTTTAAGAGGTTAAAAAAAGACATGGATTCACTCTATAACCATCAAATGCACCGCTATATATTCAGTATTATTTATTTGTGGGTATTTTCTTCTTGCCTCTTGCAGATGTTGCCGGCCCCAGCTCCTCCAAAAGCAGCAGCAGCAGCGGTAGCGGTGCTTCTAAGCGCTCCGTTCAGAAAATGCAGGACAAATCCGAGGCCTTCAAATCCTTGTTCACCAGCCACAGCTCGGCCAAACGCACCAAAGACCAGATGTCAAACTGGGTCACGCACACCCCCTATCACTTCTAATAGCTTTACTCACGGGTTCGCTCTACGTTTTGTATCAATCACTCATTGGCTACATTTAACAGAATATTATACTCAACTCATGCTAGTCCTCCCCAAGAAACTCTCTTATTCTTTATCAATCCGTAAGTTAAAAACAATCTTAAATCCGGCGATCAGTTCAGTATATTCCTTATGAAACCTTTTGTTATGCATTGGTATCTATAAATACTGCATCACTTCTGTTCTCATTTGTTCTTTGCCGTGTTCTTGTATCATAAACATGTTTCCTAATAGATCCCCCGACCCTTCACAGTATTTGTTTATCACCCTATAATGTCTCCCCTGTGCATATGTGTCCTTTGAGTTTGCTCCAATTGATGTTCTTTTCAAGTCGGGCATCACTCAATCTGCTGCTGACCCCTAGTGGAAGATGTGGCAATATAGGCTTCAAGAAAGATGAGAATATTAGAATAATGGAGATTTAAGGGGATTTTTTTAGCATTAAGATTTTGATTCTGTATGCGTTCTGGAACAGGGGGGTGATTCCAGTTTGTTTTCTTAATTTTGATGCATGTATCTTTTGAAATAAAACTTGTGAAATACTCTTGTGTTTTCCACTACATGATTTATCAATATGTCACAATCTGCCTCAAGGCTTGTGGCAAAATGAAGGGAACAGGTATGGGGCATTTCACATATTCATTTAATATAGACTTAACAATAATAGTAATCTTAAAATCATATCAATCGAGAATGAGATGTGAGTATGTAAACAATGGAATGTCATATGTCATAACCGATATAATAGATCCATGCTCATAACGCGGTAACAAAAAATGTGTAATGTGGAAGAGTGACCACTGGATGGCAGCACAGGACCGTGGCGCAGATACTATACGGGTTGCCTGGCCTGCCAGACACTCCTCCTTTGGTAGGCCAGGCAACTATACGGACGCAGCAGGACGTAACCACAGATAGACCATTCTCCTATGAGACGTTACCCCATCATTAATTACATTGTTCTGGTTCTGTGTTATTCATTTTTAAATATGTGTGTTATTATATGTACCACTTTGATAATTAAAGCTGTATTTTAAAAACCTGCAGTTGCACTCAGGCCCAGCACGTAAAACACTGATCCATGTGTGAGCATAGAGCACCCAATAAGTCGAGCACCGGACCGCTCTCCCATCCCTATTTGCCACAAAATTCAGTTTCAGTTTAGTTTATTTGAAAGGGGACAATGCAATTTAATAAAACACATGATAAAACATGGTTAAAAAAGCCAGAATTAGCCAAGGAGGCTATTTTTCATCTGTAGTCCCCTGTTACTTAACAAGATTCCAAGACTGTGGGTCTGTCCTACTCTGGACTCTTTTAAAAATAGCCGATGGGACTTTGAGGAAAGGCAGATCTTTGACATCGTGTGTTGAATATTGGTGAACCCAGCCGTCAAAGCCTTCGGGCACGACGTTTTGTACACAAAAGTTGTAATTAAAAAAATGTATATATATGATTCATTTCACATTTCATTTGATGTGTGATTGAACCTATGAGTTTCTTTTCCCAAACTCTATTGCCCCTCGTGGATATAAAGATACCTTGAACCCTTTATTATGTGCACTTCGCGATTATCAATGCATTGTCCTTTCTCTATACATTCTTCAACCCAATCCTATCCCAGTTCACAATCATGTATATTGAACTTCGTATTTGAACATTTGTAATTCTTTGCCATACTTCCCTTGAGCTAAATGTCATAATTACTATAGAAGTGCCAAGTTTCTGATCTGAAATGTTGTGGTTTTTATGACAGTTGATCTTGAGATTAAGTTAATCTTGTGAGAGTGACTTTTTCGGGCCTTGCAGATCCTCTTTGATGTGATCATTAGTTTTAAGCTGCAGTATTTGAGAGATCAGGTAACAGATAAGGCATCAGTAACTTTTGAAATCAGATTCTTTTGGTTCTTTCAGCCCCGGGCGTCCCTGCTCCGGGCTGGAATTAGCTCATCTTATGTTTACATTTTCACCTTTTCTTTATCCCCTGTCACATAGACTAATATTTCACTGAGGTTTTACAAATACATTGTTTTGGTTCTGTAAGTGAAGATAATTTATGATCCACCCGGAAGTAGATAATCCTCCTATATACCTTTAAGAAAATGTGCTTATTTTGAGTGTCCAAAAATGCGCATATGAAACCATGCATTATTAGGATTATTATTTTATTTTTTTGTTGTTGTTGATGTTTATTGACATTTATTAACCTCCTGAGACCCTGCGACCTCATACGAGGACATTACATTTTTGCCTCTTGGCACAATGATACTCAATTTTTTACATCCTTGACCTGATGGCCACATTTAGGGACACTGCCCGCGCCATCTTGTGGTGATATGATAGAATTACACTTAAGGCAGTAGGAAAAAAATGGTGGCAATATCAGCAAAAGACTTCTACAAGAGTTCACAGAAGAAAAATGCCCCAGGTAAAAATTCTATCAACATTTTATGAATGAAATCAATTTTTTTATGCACAATAATGTCTCTAGCTTCATATGGAGTTTGAAATTTGACAAATTTTGATTGTAGTAGCAGGCTAGGATGTCAGTAAAAGTGAAGCACTCGTTTGAGGACGCTAGGACTATGTACCGCTATCTGTTTAGCTAACCGTGTGGAAGATTTAGATGAAGTTACAGTTGTAAATAGTTATTTTGAATCACACATTTGCTTAGTTATGTGGTTTACAGTTGTAAATAGTATATTTAAGTACTAAGTGGTATATGCTAAGTATTGTTTAGTGTTGCTAAATTCTAAATCATAAACAATATAGCTAGGCTATAGCTAGCACATGATAGCCAAGCTATGAAGTGTCACTGATATACTGTAGATTTTGATGTTGGTTTTTAACATTATCATTACAGGCACACTTTCATTGTCAAGAGCAGAACAATTGCTGTTGGCAATTGCAGACAACTCTGAGATAGAGGACTTCTCAGATGGGGATGATTGTATCATCATCTCATACCTGTCAGTCATCTTCTGGTGTTTCCCACGGGGAGAGGCGGCGAGCTGGGGTGGCCATACTCATTGCCCCCCATCTCAGCCGCCATGTGTTGGAGTTCTCCCCGGTGAATGAGAGGGTCGCGTCCCTCCGCCTCCGGGTGGGGGACAAGTCTCTCATTGTTGTGACGGCCTACGGGCCTAACAGCAGTGCAGAGTACCCGGCCTTCTTGGAGTCCTTGGGAGGGGTACTGGACGGTGCACCTCCCGGGGACTCCGTTATTCTCCTGGGGGACTTCAACGCCCATGTGGGAAATGCCAGTGACACTTGGAGAGGGGTGATCGGGAAGAACGGCCCCCCTGATCTGAACCCGAGCGGTGTTCAGTTGTTGGACTTCTGTGCCAGTCACGGTTTGTCCATCACGAACACCATGTTCGAGCACAAGGGTGTCCACCAGTGCACGTGGCACCAGGACACCCTAGGCCGGAGGTTGATGATCGACTTTGTTGTCGTATCATCTGACCTTCGACCGCGTGTCTCGGACACTTGGGTAAAGAGAGGGGAGGAGCTGTCAACCGATCATCACCTGGTCGTGAGTTGGATCCGCTGGCAGGGGAAGAAGCCGGTCAGACCTGGCAGGCCCAAGCGTATAGTGAGGGTCTGCTGGGAACGTCTCGCTGAGCCCCCTGTCAGACGGACTTTCAACTCACACCTCCGGGAGAGCTTCTCCCAGGACCCAGAGGAGGGGGACATTGAGTCCGAGTGGACCATGTTCTCTTCCTCTATCACCAATAAAGCGGCTCGTAGCTGTGGTCGCAAGGTCTCTGGTGCTGGTCCCGGCGGCAATCCCCGAACCCGGTGGTGGACACCGGCAGTAAGGGATGCCGTCAGGCTGAAGAAGGAGTCCTATCGAGCAATGATGGTTCGTGGGACTCCGGAGGCAGCTGTCCAGTACCGGCAGGCCAAGCGTGCCGCGGCCCGGGAGTTGCAGAGGCAAAAACCCGGGACTGGGAGGAGTTCGGAGAGTCCATGGAGCATGACTATCGGTCGCCCTCAAAAAGGTTATGGCAAACCCTCCGGCGCCTCAGGAGGGGGAAGCAGTGCTTTGCCAACACCGTGTATGGTGCGGGTGGAGAGCTGCTGACCTCGACTGGGGATATTGTAATCCTAACCCTAACCCGGAGATGGTAGCCTTGAAAAACCCCATGCGTTGCAGAGCACAAGACTGCATTGGAAAAGCCTGTGTCCGATGCATGACATGCAATGTGTACCTGTGCTTGCAAAGTGAATGCAACTGCTTTGCAGCATTTCACACTTGCCAATAGGGCTCTTCCAAACAGGCAGACAGATTGCTTTCTAGAAAAAGAGAGGGAGCTAGTTTGAAAAAAGCCCCGGTTCATAAGCTGTTCAGCAGAATTTTACTGTTTTAGGACTGTTAATAATATTTGCCATTATTTGTTCTAGTATTGTATTTATCAATTCAATTCAGCCATATTGAAGGCTTGAAATAGACAGTTTACACAGTATTTTGCGGTTTTATTTATGTATAGCCAATTTTTTGTCATGTGGATGAATGAAGAAAAAGGGAACCCAAATTGCAGGACTGAAAATCAAAGTAATTTAATAAAATAAATCCAAGGTAATGTAAAAACAGAACTGAAGACAGGACAAACATTGTGGAGACAATGGACGGACAACAAGTGAGGAAGGGCACAGGGTATATACACACACACAGGGACACACAGGGACACACAGGGACACACAGGGACACACAGGGACACACAGGTGAATCACATTAGGGCGGGGCAACAATCAACAGGACAGGCAGGATTCAAACTCAACCAGGTCAAAATGTCCACACCATGACATTTTTAGGCTTTGAAGATTTTATGTCTAACTTTGATGTTTACATTTTTCAAATAAACTGTTATATACTATTTTAGACCAATGGAGTCTATTTGTATTGTATAGTAAGGTCGACCCACTGTACTTATATGAGGACATTGATTTTTGAGAGAAGTACTAATTGGATCAAGCTGAAATTTTGAATTTCAACTAATTAGGACCTTCCGGCCTAAAAGATCATACATTTTCTCTTTAGGTTATGAGAGACCCACTGTCCTCATACGAGGACATGTTTTTTCTCAAAAACTACTTCCTGTACAAAATCACAATTTAGGTATTATACTTATTGGGTCCTACTTATCCTAAATAGCAAAAAAATATATAAAATGCACACCAGACAAATGCTCGGGTCTCAGGAGGTTAAACACATTGCATTGGGAAACACGCTAATTTCAGTTTATTGCATGTTAGGGCGTCATCACGTCATGCAATGTGTCTTGCAGAGTGACTTTTTGATACAAATCATACAATCCCGGACTTCTTTTCTTCAACCTGGAAGGACTCAGAATTAACCCGTACAGTTGCAATTCCTGCTGCCTTGTCTAAATTTTTCGACTCACCATTGTCACATTTTATTTCAATCTATGACGTTTTTTCTACCAATTCAATGTTACTTATCGATTGTGCATCCATTGATTTTTATCGTTGTTTATTATTATGTGTTCGCTTGCCAAACTAATTGACATCATTTGATTCATCCTCCTGCAGCAAAGCATTTCTGCAGGTTGTAAAGTCTGCTATTGTTTTGATGTTAAGATGCCTCCAGGTACTGCACGCACGCATGCGCAGTTTGTACCCTCCAGGTGAAGCGTGGCGTGAGGCTGTGATGGACTCATTCGCGGCGTGTGCGTCAGCGGGATTGTATCTCAGGAGTCTTCCACATGTCTGTGATCGAGAGGTTCGACTGGAGGGTGAGTCGAGCTGCTTCGTCCATTTTAAACTAATCCACACTTTGGAATCACGTTTTTTCCCCTTGAGATAATGTGAAATGTTTTGACTTCAGCTTCAGAAGTGACTTTTTTGCTTCCCATAGTGTTTTCTTGGTATCATATACTTTGTTATTTTGGTTTCAATGCAAGTTCCACTAACTCAGATGATGCTAATATGTATTTCCATTACATATTGTCAAATGTTTTCAATAATATGTAGTCTAAATAATGGTGTGAAATGTAGGTCATACAAAAAAATGGTGTGAAATGTAGGTCATACAAAAAACCGTATCTAAATATACATAGCATTACTTTTTAAATCAGAATGTATTTAAAAACATGTTATATGGGCCTTCTGTATACGTAATTTTTGTGTGTGTGTAAAACTAGAATAGATCATTTAGACTAATATTAGCACTTTACAAATAATCAAAAATAACCTATATATACAAAGACATTGTTTGGTTTTGTTAACTGAAGAAAATGACATAGTTGACAAGAAAATATACATATTTAACCATAGTAGTAAAATTGCATTGGGAATCACGCTACTTTCAGCTTTTTGTATTTTTACTGCACTAATGCGTCATCACACCTAAAACACAGAACGTTGATATGGGTCATGAGTTTAAGTCACAATTTTCACATTTTATTTCAATATGACTTTTGTTTTCTGCCAATTCAACGTTACTCATTGCTTGTGCATTAATTTCCATTGACCCACAAAATATAAAATCAGCTTTAAATGACGTTCTCTTTTCAAAATTGCTGAAACACCCTTCTTTGCCTGTTAAACGCACTTAATCTGCGTGTGTATAATCCTCACTGTGCAAACGCGCTGTGGTCAGTCCGCGGCCTGTGATTGGAGTGACAGGCGGTCCGCTACCCGTGAGGCCCAGCGCGTCTGACTCCCTACGGTCCGCATCCTGCCCGCCTGTGTTTTTGCGGCTGCGTCTGGTCCAACGTAAAATGACATTTAATCCGTGATTTTCTTCTGCTTCGCATCACAACAAGACAAGAACCAACGCGCCCAAGATTATCCCACTGACCCCCGCGCACACTCATTCAGTTACAGAAATCAAAAAAAAAAAAGTTTAATAAAATCTAAATACTCGAAATTTACCCCTTTTACGCACTAGTGTGTCTTAAAACATTTATTGTAAAATAGACAAAATATTAATGAGAGATTGTGGACGTCTTGAATCATTCACGAAAATACAAAGAAGTCAATTATGTGAGAAACGTTTAGGGAGACATGTGTAAGAAGCCAAGACGCTGTATATATTGTGCTCTGGATTTATAGGAGTTTGTGTTTATAGCCATTCTGCTACTTTGGCGCTTGAAGGGTTAAAATGTCCACACGTGAACCATACAAATACAACACCCGAGCCCTTTTTTTTTGGTTTTTTCGTTTTTTTCTAACAATTAAAATGAGTCACTGTTTGGGGTTGTGACAGGGCTCCACCAAAAATGTAAATTCAAGAGAGAAGAAGGTTATTTGTTGAGCTTATGAGTTTTGAGGAGAGCCAAGCCCCGAGGCCTCAGTGAACGCTGAGGCCTGCACTAAAATGTCATGTTTACTCCGATATTCTGGCTTCTTCTTCTTCTCTCACTCCAACAGCAGCAGACGCATTTACTGTACGTGTAGAGCAGTGTTGTTCAACCAGTGGGCCGTGGGACGTTAGTGTGCCTTGAGATGTTCATTAATGTGCCTTCGAAATAATCCATTTTCACCTGCTTGGTCAAAATTATATGGAAAAAAGTGAGATGATTAGAGCGATTTTTTTTTTGTGCTCATTTGATTCTGCTACACATTGATTAAAAGGACTTAACTTAGTATCAAAAGCCATGTGATATTTAGCCATGACAGAGGTGTGCCACGGCTCAAAAATGTTGGGGAACCCTGCTGTAGAGGAACCACATGATGCTGGTGGTGTATAGCCAAAGTCTACATGAAATATTTTTGTATTTGTACTAACATTGTGTCAAAATTACCCAACACAGATGAATAAGATAAGATAGGATTAGATTGAGTGTCCTTGGGCAAGACACTTAACCTGCACTTTGCCAATAAGAGCGCGGAAGTGATGTTTGCTGCTTGCCTTAATGTGTATATGTGTATGCATCAAACTGAAATTTCCCTATTGTGAGACGAATACAGGACCTTCTTCTTCTATAGATCCTTTATTTGTCCCAAAGTGGGGGAAATTTCAATGTTGTAGTGATAAGAGCACACAGGGAGAACACAGAATATACAAAAGTAGCTGCTGTTTCTTAGCTATAGCTGTAAATGCGTCAATATCACTCTTGCAAAATCTCTATACAAAGTGCAGAGTTATATAAGGCAGGGTAATAAGTAGGTAAAGTATGGATACAGATATAAACTGGAAGAAAAATACCTACATTTAGGGTCTAAAATGGTCTAAATGACTCAGGGCCAGTTACATCCAAATTCAGCTCACATTTTATTTTATTTAGTGCATTTATGAATCACTGTGGCAGGGAACTTTGACCTGAGGATAAAACCATTTGAGGCCTATTCTCACATGACGTAGAAACTATTAAATATGATCGTTCAGGTCCGGGTTTAGTGGTGCATGAGAGTTGGATTAAAAACTAAAGTCTTTATAACCTGAGTTTGAAAAGGAATGTGCTGTGGTTATTCATGTTTTGCAGGTTTTTTATGATTTTAGGGTTTCCTTTCTTGTTTTGTAAAGCCTTTTGGGTCGCCTTGAATCACAAAGAAATAGGTGCCTTTACATACATTTACACGTTAGGAATGCAAAAACAAAAACAAATATGTTAATGTGGTTGCAAGTGTCGTTCATGACCAACATGACTTAATGGAATAGAAAGTTAAAGTCAGATTCTAATTCATTTTATTTGCCATTTGCAGTAAAACCACATTGGAATACATGCACAAAAGTCCCCATGTGCACAACGTCCCAGACATTTGTCATTTTCTTCACAAGGTTAAAGGAAGACAAGGTTTAAAGTTCGGGAATAAAAAAAACAATGAAATCAAGTCAAGTTTTGGGACATTGACCTTGCACTTTTTGGACGCTTAAAAACAAAGGTGCAGCATCTCCATAGACAGGGGTTTCCAACTTGTGGCTCGGGAGCTACCAGTAGCTCTCCACCCCCCTTTCAGGTATAGGGCAGGTATCAGGGACACAGTGGCTGAGTGGTTAGCACTCTCGCTTCTCAGCAAGAAGATTCTGGATTCGAATCCCGATCGGATCAGGGCCTTTCTGAGTGGAGTTTGCATGTTTTCCCCATGTCTGCTTAAGTTTCCTCCGGGTACTCCGGTTTCTCCTACCACTAAAAACTTGTGCAATAGTTTAGGGTGAATGAGTGTGTGTTTCGTGATTGTGGAACAACGGATGGAAATTAGCCCATGCTACAATCCAGAGTGATGTGTTCATTAACAGGTACTGTCACAACCAAATAAACAAATATTAAAATGTAGCTCCCCAAAGGATTCGAGGATTTACCAAGTAGCTCTGCCATAGTGCCATAGAAACTTGCCTCTCTCCTGAAGGCTCAGTGCTAGTCAAGTTTATGGAATGCACTCACACAAATCTAACACTGAGAAAGATTCGTTAAATAAAAAAATCCAATAAAAACATCCAATCGAAAAGCCTGTTTGTTATTATGTATTCTGCATGAGGGAGTTCTAACGTGCAGACCACAGACCCACGCGTGGCCTGGCAGGGAAACAGACGGACAGAGCTCTGATTGGTCCGCTCTTTTGCCAATCAACGGTATCCCCCACTTTTCCTTCTGGATACGTCATTACGCACGGGCTATACTCCCTCCCTCTCCCCCATTTTTACGCTCCGTGCTGTGATAGCGCCGCGGCTGCTTTTGCTCCTGTGGGACTGAACATCTGTACGTTGTCCAAAAGAGGGAGTCAACTTTCTCAAACGCTCGCTTCAACCCGCGGTGACAACACAACTCAGCTACACTTCACTCGGAGCAGACGGAGGAGGATATAGTCCTGAGTGCGTGTGTGCTTTTTGTGTGGCTGCACTTTTTAAAAAATAACAAAAAACAAATACCATTTCGGTTCCATGTTCCCGGAGAACCTTTTCATCTTCATGCGCCTGGATTAAACCAAATTCTGTTGCTTCCATTTTTTTTTCTTTTTTTTTTTTTGGTGCGACAGAGAGAAACTGAGAAAATGTTGTGGAAATTAGCAGACAACGTGAAATACGAGGATGACTGCGAGGTAAGTTTTGTGGGAGACTCTGGGAATTTAATGGATCTCTCCGCACGAGCTGACGCCGAGACGTACTTTGCATTTGAACACGCACCGACTGCACTTAGTCTGAAGTTTGTCATGCAAATGCGTCTAACTTAGCGCAAACGACGCACAAAAGACAACAATCTCCACGGGCGGGCAACGAATGATGTTTATATTTGGGGTTAAAACAAGCTATAGGGCGACGCGTCAAAGGACAAATGCATGCATGGGTAATGCTTTGTGCACAGAAAGTTGCATGTTGAAAACGGGAGAACATGGATACTTGGGCGGAAAGTTTAATTTCTGTTTATAAATAATTCCTCCAGTGTGGGACGAATGCAGGTTGTCTTAATCTTTTCCAATTGATTTTTTTAGGTTTATTCTATAGGGATACGAATGTTCCATGAGCACGTGACAAACTATAACAACTAATCCAGAGTGAATTCTATCATGTCTGTGCCTATAGTCGGGAATTTACTTACTAAAACTATTGAAAAAAACAGTTATTATTCAAATGTTGCCAGTTGTGATCGTTTGGTAGAACACGTTGTTACGCATGGCTGTTTGGTGGTTAAAACAAAGCTGGAAACTTGTTTAAACCTGCACGATTCACTTCTGGCATATTTGCACAAAAAACACAACCCAAACTGTCTCAACTTCATCCTTAACCATTTCACATTTCTCACAAATCATTGTATTTTAGAGGTGCATGGACGCTGAGCTTTTACGCACGGATGTTTGAACTAATTCCCTAATTTTGTCCTGTATTTTTTTGTTATTCTTTTAATCATTTCCCAGGACAGACACGACAGCAGCAATGGGAACCCTCGGCTGCCACACCTGCCCGCGGTCAGCCAGCACATATACAGCCCCTCTCCTTCGCTCTCACACAGCGCTGCCTCGGACTTCCAGCCTCCATACTTCCCCCCTCCGTACCAACCCATCTCCTACCCTCAATCCGGAGACCCCTACTCCCATCTGGGCGACCCGTTCAACATCAACTCCCTGCACCAGTCCCAGTCCTCGAACCAGCAGCAGCAGTGGCCCGGGAGGCAGGCCCAGGACGCGCTCGGGTCTCATGGAAGAGCGGGGATTGCGAGTCAGATCCTCGGCTTGGACAGCGGCGCTTCGGGCGTGAGGAGAGGCGAGGGCTTCAGGAGGCCGGAGCTGCTGGCGGGAGGCACGCACGGTCACGCCATAGACTCGTCGGTGATCGGTGATATGGGCATGCACGATTTGGGACATGGACTCGACGATGTGCAGGTAAATGTTGGAGGGAAAGCAGCAGCTGCGGTGGTGGAATGATTGGCCTTCTGAGATATTAGAGTTAGAATCTGTTATTGCCATTGTGAGTGATCAGAGAGAGAAAATACACACACACACACACACACACACACACAGGCTGCAGGAATACGTGTTGGCATTATAGTAATTATAATAAGGCATGCTTATCTTAATACAACAATCCAATTATACACACAATATAGTGCAGGTTATGGGAAATACACACTCATAGCCTATACCTCAGTAACTAGTTTATAATTGCATGTTTAAACGTTTTTATTTTCATCTTAATTATCTGATGTGTGAGCAGAGAGTAAAAATCTCATCAGAAACAGTCGGAGCAAGTAATATGTGAGATGTAGATTTAGACAGGAGAATATTATGTTATAGGGATTCATGGAGAAAATGTAAACTTCATTTAAAATAATTCCGATGCAGCTCCATGAAGGCAGGTCTAAAAACAAAAACAATACGAACAAAATCTTCTGTGTTCATCCACTAATGTTTTTATTTGCTTTCGCTCATGAAAAGTAAATATTACGGGCAAAACAATAACGTCTCCATGGCGACTAACCACAGTGTTTCGGACCCTCCCACCAAAACAAGTGAAGTGTGAAAATTCAGGTGAAAATGCACTTGTCTATTTAGTGGCGGTGTCTTGTCAGTGGTATATGACAAATATTGGAAAAAGATGAATTAAAAAGAAGAAAAGAAAGAAAGAGGCCAGCTAAGAATATTATTAGCCAGTAAAAGCACAATCACATGTATACTTTACAGGAACGTTCTTGTTACAATGTTATTGTCACGAGAAAATCAGAAACTACCATCACAAAGGCACAAAGTTCATCTTTAAGCAGTGTGTGTATCCACTGAAGGATATTTCAACTGTCTTTAAAGAAGATATTCCATACACCTGTGAGTTAAGTTTTAATTTGAGACGTGAGCCTGATGCTCCTTTGTAAAATCTACTCATAACACAAAAATAGTAGGAGCGCACAAAATATACATAGAAAATGATATGTAAATGCTTTTTAAATTTGGTGTTGGCGACCAAAGTTTAAGTTTGTAATACAACATTGAAGAAGATTGAATATGCAAAAACATAAATACCATTATAAAAACATTTAAAAGACCTGTTATTTGCCCTTTACCAAGTTGTTTTTTGTTTGTTTTGTTTTTAAAATCAGATAACTTACGTTTTAGCCCATTCTTCCAAACGTTCTGCCAATAACATAAAAGTTTGAAGGTCACAGTTCGAGGAATACTTTGTTTTTGGACACATTTTAAAAACTTTAACTGTTTTTGCAAATTAACTTTTCATTGCATATTATAATGTACGTTTGACAGAGTATGGCTGCTGTATTATATTATCTAAGCTTCAAAACCAGAGTCAGCCTGTCCTATGACTGTCAGGCAGTGACTTGATCCACACGAGATACAGAGACAAGAGGGAAATGGCTCTGAAATGATCTCAGACAGATATCAGCACAAATAAGTGGTGTGAAAATACGAATCAGGTTAATGAAAAAAGGCTTAGATGACTCTCACAATGGACGAAACGACAAACGACATTCAGAGATGGTGCATTTTCACAGTGCATCAAGCTGCAGTTTACTCACATTTGGGAGAAACTGCTTTTGACGTACAATCTTGTCATTTGTCACGGAATCCTGCCCAAAAGCCACAGCAGATTTCACTAACGAGCTTTGGAGACGCACACACACATTTGACTTTGGAGACGCACACACACAACTCACTGTGTTCATGTCCTCTCCTCCGCAGCACGTGGACGACCACAGCATCATCATGGCCGATCAGACGGTCATCAAGAAAGGTAATTATTATTTTCTGTTCACCATGCATCCTTTGAACAAAACAAAAACAATAAAAAAAAAAAAAAATGTTTTGGAAAGTGCACCCGTGGTTACAAGCACCGTTTTATTTAAAGCAACCGCATTCCATAATTACTGGCAAGGGTTTGGAGATTTACCGTAAGGCGTGTATTTTTTTTTCTACTTTTAAATGTCAATGATTTCTTTAGCGGCGTGTCACGATAGCTTTCTATTCTGCACTGCACCCACACACACACGCGCACACACACACACACACGCACACACACACACACCCACACACACGCTAATCCCCCAGAGACGCACTTATCTAAGCTGGCTCTGATCCCTCGGACTTTTCTCCAGCAAAAGGTGCTTAAAGAATGCCCACCAGCAACAATCAGTCCTTTTGAACAACTGTCAGGTGAGCTGTCAAGAGACTGAGCCACCCCACAATCCTCCAATAGCCTCCGCAGCACCGGTAGAGTAGCCAAAACTATTCAGGTAAGAGCATGTTGCCTTTAAACAATATTGCTCAAGTAGAAGTTGGATGTAACGACGGCTGAAACGATCGATCGTCTACAAAGAAGCTTCTGCTGCAATTGTGTTGCCAAAATGGACTTAGACTTAGATTTAGACAGACTTTATTGATGCACAGTATTTAACTACAAAAAAATACAAATAAAAATAACTTTAAAGTAACAATAAAATGGGAATAATAATAATAATAATAAGATAATATTGTGAGAAAAACTAAACCTCTGTTAATATACATTGCATACAAGGACAAAGCAGATAAACTTGAAGTCTGTTTAGATCTGTCACAGAGCGGCGACTGGTTGTACTTTTGTTTTGTATAATTATTTAAAAGTATGAAAAAAGTGTTGCACTTAAAGTCACAGAAGCATTTATCACATTTGTTTCACACAGAACTGTTTGTGCATTGGGCCAAAACTGCCCCAAAGTCAACGTATATTTACGTCTTATCATATAGACTTATTTTATTCTAATTTTAATTCTATTTCCCCTCATATATACATCCTAAATAAAGTATACAGTGTAAAATAGATTATTAATTGAAGGAAATAATTGATAAAATACGCACTAACAGAAGAGCGGTTTCATAAAGTACAGATCATTTCCAATTTCCTCCAACAATGTCTAGTATCTTGTCTTATGGCTATAGTGTAAGTCCTATGAAATTGCTCATAAATCTAAAAAAAACTATTTGATTATTGATCAGAAACCGCTCCAGGGCATGGTCAAGTTGGTTACCAAACATTTATGAATAATTTGAGTTTTGAGCTCGTTCTTATTCGATTCAGTACACAGTATTATATTAGTGTACTGGGGTAAATGTATTTCTGTAAAATTGTCAACATTAAAGGTGATGTACCTAACATTTCAAACCATAAATATTTAACTAGGTCTTGCAATCCATCTCCTAGTCCCTATGCTCTCTACACAAAAATAAAGGACCCCCCTCAGCCAATCAGTTTACAACCAATCAATCAACCTTTATGGTTATAGCACAGTTCATACAGAATGCAACCCAAAGTAATTTAAAAAACAACTATGCAAAAACATTTATAATAACAACATCAACATAAAACTTTCACAAGGCAAAAATCAGGAGAACAAAAAAGTTTGGTATGCTAGCTTAAGCACATGTAGCATTAATGAGTTTTTTTTTTTAATGAGATGCTTTCTTTTGTTGCTCTTGCTAGCGGGAAATGGTGACGGTGAAGTAGAATTGGGCATGCGGAGGGGTGTGTCAGGCTTGCATGTGAAGAGGCTTCAGTAATGTGTCGGGACTTGAACTGTTTTCACTGTGATCCGACTCCCAGTGTGTTTTATTAAATTTGACTCACCGCTTGATCACCGCTGCTAACGTTACACCGCAGCTAAGCCTGACACCGGTGATTCATCAGGCTTGGTGTTGACACGGAGAAGTACTCGCAGAACTCAGACAAATCTATGGGATTTCCGTGCGTTTTGGGGTTAACTTTCTTAGATAATGTTTGTTTTTGATTCATTTTTGCGTTGCCCCCTAAAGCACAACGGTTTATGATGTCGTTGATTCGGCAACAACAGATCAAGCCGTTGGAACACAGGAAATGCAAAAATAACAAACACATAAGAGCCATTGGTCCATATGGGAGGCAAAATGACCACTGTCCTTTAATGTCCCTAAAAATCCCAAAATGTCCATACAAAGTCCATACAAAGTCCCAAAATGTCCATACAATGTCCCTAAATGTACTTAAATGTCACTATATGTCCTTGAATGTCTTTAGACCTTCCAGCATGGGCAAGGAACGAATACAATCCATCTCAAATAACTATAATCATGTCATATATTTCACCCGTATTATACAGAAAGTTACTGTTGCTTTAAAGCTGGGATACCAAACTTTCAAACTATACAAAATTAACTAATCTACAAAATCTAACTTGGTCCTTGCTCTCAAAACAGTTTGTACGCATCACTGGTTTTCACAAGGAAATATTTTTTGGGCCAAATCCAAAGCCCGCCATCTCTCAGCCAATCAGTGCTCATTCCAAAGCGTCAAATAGTGACTCCCAGGGCTCTATAAGTCTGCCAAAGATTCTATGTTTTCAATAATATATAAACATCAAGCAGTGGTCGGAGTTGTCCACAGTATTTCAAGATTCTTTCTGTTGAGACAAAACCCGTAATCAGACAAAAGTTAGGTATACCCCGAGCTGTAAGCGCAGTCCTTAAATTGCAGTTTGTTATTATCCAACACAGACCAGCATTATGTATGTACTTGCCTTGTGCACACTGGGGGCTGTTGCATATGTACTCCAATGTGGTTTTACTGCAAATGGCAAATAAACTGAATCTGATTTCAACGATCTGTGGCATTCCTCCGCAGATTCCAAAAGCGTCCAACCCTTGGCGCGGGGATGAGTATGACATACAGACGCCACATCCTTCTACTCTTACTACATTTCACAAACAAAGCGATCCGTCTGGTTCTAACTGAGTCACCGATGCCTCGTTACAGCGCGGTTCCCAGGCTCCAGGGCACGCTATGGGCCATCTAGGTTTCCCCATTGTAAACAATAGCATGTCATTCCCAGCCTGAGCGGAGACTGGAAGGGCAGATTTTTTTTTTTTTTTTTTTTTTGCCATATACTGACTTTTCCTATGTGATTTTGTCTCAGTGTTAGGCCTGCGAGGTGCCCGAAACCTTGAACGAATTCAGAGGACATATTATGAGGGGGGCATGCTTGCTGGTGAGGATGAAGCTATAGATTTTCTCTTTCTATGTAATTCTGTATACAGTATGTGGAGTGTATTATTATTATTTTTTGTCTGTCATTGTGGTGATTGTTGCTACGATTACATGATGTGGGGTTTACAAAAAAAAAAGGCTTGTGTGTGAGTACCTGTTTGGGGTTTTTCTTTGGCATGAGGGCATTTCACTTCTTGTACCAGCAACCGATGTTTAGAAAAGCCACACCATATTTCTAAGGGCCGCTGTAAGTTGTGTGTGTTTTGTAGACATTGGGATCACTCTGGTTGTGCTGAGTTGCGCATACACACACACACACATACACACACACACAAACGTTGTAGAGCCCTATGGGGAATACACAGGATTATGAATGAAATGCAATTGTTTAGAGATAGAAGTCGTGTAGAGATGGAAGTCTGGACTTTTTGCATAGAATTTTGTTGTGGGTGTTACAGAGGTACAAATATTACAGTCAGGGGAATCAGACAATAAAGGTACGCTGCAAAAAAATATAAAATGTGAGGTATTAATTGCTTGAATCATGTTTTTATTTTATCTAAACTTGAGTATATTCTGAGTGTCTTAAAACAAGGTTCTCCAATGGAACAAAGACATATAGTCATTTTGTTGCCAAATTTGAGACATATTTTTCATTACTTTTTGCAATGTAAGTGAGAACAGAGAGAGAGAGACCAGAGAGAGGTCAGTGACAGACCCGATAGAAAGACCAGAGAGAGACCTAGAGAGTTACAGAAAGACCAGAGAGAGACCTAGAGAGTTACAGAGAGACCAGAGAGAGACCTAGAGAGACCAGAGAGCAAAAGATCAGAGACCATTGTATGATTCTTTTTTGTTCTAGTGCACAAAAAGCAAGGATTTGTTTTATTAATTGAATTGAAGTTGACCCATTTCAAACTTTCAAACTGAAGCCTCTGGAGGAAATGTAGACAGCGTACATATCCAGCTCCTATCACATTATACACACATCAAACTGCTTCATAGTCTTTAATGTAACTTTTATTTTTGCATTTTTAACTTATTTTTGTGCTCTGTGTCGCCCAGGCCCCGTATCGCTGCCCAAAGGAAACGCAGTGGGCCTTCCCTTCCAGAAAGAGTCCCTGTTAGGAATGGTGTCCAACCCCACGGAGGTCTTCTGCTCGGTGCCCGGCCGCCTGTCTCTGCTCAGCTCCACCTCCAAATACAAAGTGACCGTGGCCGAGGTGCAGAGACGCCTCTTGCCCCCGGAGTGCCTCAACGCCTCACTGCTGGGAGGAGTTTTACGAAGGTCAGCGCTGAAATTGATCGTTATTTACATTTTCATTTTGGTGCAGACAGACACATACTTTGTTATGTCTATATCAACCCTATATTACTTTTTTTTCTTCTGATTTTCCAAGATGTACTAACCCTAACCCACACATTATTTGTTTTTATGTCTTTTTTAACAGCCAGTTGTATACTTAATGGCCTTTACCAAATGGTTGAGCTGCATTTTGATGGTAAAAGTGCCTAAAACCATGTGAGAGAAATGCCCCAATGAGATATACTGTAGATTTCAGTTCCAAGCTAGTTCCAAAGTAGTTTGTGGAAACCATACCCTTTATAGATAACATTACCAATAACAAAAACACACTGAGGTTTGTTTGTAATGATAACATCCTTCCATTTTCTTCCGTTTTCTCCGTTGCCGTGTGGCGTGGGCGGCAGCAGCAGCCCAGACTTCCCTGATCCACACACACTTCCTTGAGGCATTCCCAGGCCAATAAAAACATATATAGAGTAAATAAAAATCCACCTACTTCAAATGTTTTTCTATAATTTCCAAAAGTATCAAAGAATCAGATAGTAAAACCTGTATCAAAGCTTTATCCTCAATTGAAAAAGAATTGATGATGAATTAAGTACACATACGGGGCCAATTTGACAAAGATAGAAAGACAAAATTGTGGAATGATCAAATGTATTTTCTGTTTAATTATTAAAACCATAATAATATCATGGACTTTCTTTATCAAGTTTATCAAGGCTATTATATTTGTGACAACACTAGATTGCTGCATAGACTTTCCGGTCACATGTATTGTTGGGTGAAATTGGCAGAAGAGTGTGGCTTCCATCTACACAAATGTATACAATGTCATGCATAGAGCTTGTTTATAAAAATAGTTTAAACATTTATTTTTCATTCCTCTGTTTTAACTTCACTTTCCCATTTCCATACACTCACAAGTCATCTTTAAGAAAGTTGGAATGTTGCATGTTTTAAAAAAAGTGAATAAATAGTTTCTTTTGACAATGTTTAAAGCCAAGTTAAAAACGGTGCTGTTTAGCTGTGCATACAACTGAGGGATTTTATATTTTTATCTTTCGTTTTAATGGTCTGTGATTATTTATGATTTTAATGCTATCTTGTTCAGCACTTTGAGTTGCCTTGTGTATGAATTGTGCTATACAAATAAACTTGCCTTGCCTTGCCTTGCCTTTTGAGCAAGATTTATTATGTACATTGAATTAAACGTGACCATAGCTGTGCAAGTTTACACTGAAAAAAGTAATGACAAATAAGTCAAAAATTGCACAAATTTGGCAAAATATATCTTAAATTGAGCACATTCTGACTGCCTTAATACAAAAGTTACCAATGGGACAAAGCAAAAATATCTCAGTTCTTGAAATAAGTCTAAACGGCTTTGTCCCTTTGGAGAATCATGTTTTCACGCAGTCAGAATGTGCTCAAATTAAGATAAAAGCACTTGATTCAAGCAATTTTTACCTCATATTTTATCTATTTTTGTAGTGTACAGTCCCAGTGCAGGTCATCACAGTCACTTATTGTACGGCCGTATTGAATATGAAGTAGATTTTGCTCTTTGACTCTTTCAAACGGCCCTGGCTCTTTCATCAGAACTAACGCCAGCCGCTCTTCATGAACATTAATAACGTCATCGTCGACTTTATCATTTCCAGCTCTTTCTAAACACTCGGCTTGCATTCAGCTCTGTTTAGCTTCAACCATTTTTTCCCCCCTTTCGTGACATTCTTTGTGTGGTCTGCAATTTTGGTCGTGCGCTTCCCTCTGTGGATAGCTCACATCCACGACAGTCAGTGCCAATCTTCCGACGAGAGTGGCCATTTTTTCACGCCGCATTGCCGATACAACCTTACATATGTTTGCAAAGCTGTCTGTTTAGAAGGCCCTGAGGATTTCCTGTTTATTTTTTTGTCATCTTTTGTGCTAAAATTGCACATTCTTGACTCCCCTTGTGCTCGCACTGACGAAGAAGCGCGTATTCACAGTTTTAAGTAGGTCATATAGAGTTGGTTGAGAAGGGGTGTGTGTGCTGGGGAGGGGGGGTCGTTGCCTTGCTCGCCTCCCCAAAGATGCTGCCTCGCTCGCCCGCTGTGTGCGAAAAGAGCTTGGCCTTCACTCATGCGGAAAACAGCATCAGCGATGGCGAGTGCAAGGTTTAAGCGGTTTCTGCACATTTGTCTTCCATGCCGACCGGACAGTTGTTTTTGGGTCAAAAGATATCGGGCAAACAGGACTATTTTTGCAATCGTACGTAAGAAAATGGGTTATAGTGGTGGCGTTTCAAAATAAGGCCCACTATTTGTCAAGGATTGTGGTATATTTATTGCATTTAATTTAAAGCAGGCTGTTTTGGATTAAACCTTAGAAAAAATATATATAATAACTAAAAATTGCTAGTTGTACTTTACATTGGCACAATTGAGCTTTGAGAGGTATTACCCATCTTATAATAAAATAATGACCTTGTACCCAATCAAAGTTATTTTTAGAGGAATATATAGAATGATTAAAGCTGGGGTACCTATTTTGTTTAAAGTCAATTCAATGAACAAACCAGACCACAACTCGCTGGCCTCAATAGAAATAATTTTATATTTCCTTACTTTAATAAAAATAATAATAATAATAATAATAATAATGATGATAATTCCCACCTCTGCACCTTCTCCACCGACTCCCACTGATGACTGCTGTCGTTGTGTCCTTGGGCAAGACACTTAACCCCACTTTGCCCAAAGCCCCCACTGAAAGATCAAGGCTATGCTCACACTCAGAGAGCAGCCGTCCTCCTGTGGACTCACCACCTGCAGAGGGTCAGTGAGGGGCTGGTGCTATGAGACTTGGGTGGCATCTCTGACTGCCACCCCCCTGACCCAGAAATGGATTAAAGGGAAGAAAATGGATGGATGGATGATGATAATAATAATAATAATAATAATAATAATAATAATGTATCACTCAAAGACGCTTCACATGTCGTTATTCTTTCACTCTAAACACAGTGATGATCAACCGCTTCTGTAGCCACAGCTGCCCTGGGGCACACTGACAGAAGCGAGGCAACCATTATGTGCCATCGGCCCCCCCCATTACCACCAACACCAGACTCATTCTTTTGTGGGTGAAGTGTCTTGCCAAAGGACACAACAACAGTTTGGCACTTTACAGCCGCGGCCGCCCCACTGTGGCACCCGGTGTTCCCAGAGGTCTCCCATCACACTTGTATGGAAGATCCTGGCACTATTTGATGCTTTGGACTGAGAGCTGATTGGCTAATGAGCTTTGTCCTGACTTTTTTTTTTTTTTTACTTTTCTGCCTTAAAAAACATAAACATCAAAAGACACTGTTCTACAAGCGACAAACTGGGAATTTTCCAGTTCCATTGCATGTGGTTTGAAAGCTACGTACCCCAGCTTTACAGTAAGTCATGGTTCTTTTCTGCGTTTGGTTGCTCAGGGAATGTTTTGCATCTCTGCCGTGATCTGTTGCTATAGTCAACACTAAAAAACACGGACATTTTCACTGCAGAATCAGCTGAGTTGTTTGTTATTCGATCAATGTGGAGATTTAGAAAGATGTGATAAATAATTACAAGCAGAGAAGCACTGGGTGTCCTTTGTATTCACATGATCCACAAAAAAAAAAAAAAATACTTGTAGACTACTGTAGACTTTCTCTTTTTACTCCATAGTCACATTTGATGCACTGAAGAGAATATCCAGACACATGTGACTGCGACGCTTGGGGGGAAAAATACCATTCCAATATGAAAGGAACTAATGATACTAATACCACAAAATGTCAATAACTCCAATATTTATGAGAGGTGTGACTGTGAACATATCTATCGCTATTTTTATCACTCTAAAGTGCATGAAGTTCTTAAATCATTTGTCAAAACATGATTTTCTTGTTTCCCTGCAGGGCCAAGTCAAAAAATGGCGGCCGGTCTTTGAGAGAAAAGCTGGATAAAATCGGCCTCAACCTGCCCGCGGGACGGAGGAAAGCAGCCAACGTTACTCTGCTCACGTCTCTTGTTGAAGGTATGACACTCAAAACGCCGGCTTATAATAGCTGTTTGCAACACCCAGGAATGTCACTTTATGGCTACAAGAACGTGGGAACTTTGGCCTCTTTGTGTAATCCATCACTTTAAAAAGGCACTCCCCAAATATATATATATATTTCTGTGCTAGCTTCGATCTGTGTTTGCTGAAGTACAACTCCAATATGTTTTTCATAACAATCTGCCATGCAGCGTCAGTAGCATTAGAGCAAAACTAGTGGCCAATTTTGAAAAACAGTGGCAAATTGGAATTTTGACAAAACCAAAACTAAGAACATATATTCAGTTAAAAGAACATTTCAAAACAGAGTTTTACGTCACAGCAAATTTGCCCAGGAATCAGAGATCTCTGATGGCTCAGTTTCGTACCGGAATTCTTCCATTACCGCTAGAAGCAGGGAGGTTTTCACAAACCCCTGAGGAGAAGAGACTGTGTTTATTTTATGAACTCGATGAAGTGGAAAATGAAGTGCATTTTTTGTTATATTGTCCTTTTTATGATGAATTTAGAAATGTGTTGTTTTATGAAACGTTCTCCTGGGATCCTGATTTGTTTTGGGGCTGTGATTATGACAAGATGACATTTTTATTTGAAAATCAAGTGTTTAAAGTGTCTTCATTTTTAAGTACAGCTTGGAAGAGTCTCATCTATTTAAATGAGAGCATTTGTGTTCAATTTTGTTTATGATTTTGTTTATGATTTTGTTGTATGATTCGGTGTATGTGCCGGATGTTGGCCTGTGTCTCTGTATTTGCATAAATGGTGTCTTATAAGCCCATGTGGGCTGGGCATCCTTGTATGCAAGACACTATCATAAATAAAAATCTATCATATCTATCTATATATATTTTTAAGCTAACAAAATGGCTTACTGCACCTTTAAGATACTGGGCTTGCATAAAAGCAAAATTCAAACCAGATTCCTGTATCGCCGCCATCCTAATCGATCACATGTATACGGCTGAACAATGCCATATTGCAACACACTCATCGTTTTAAATCACACACACCTGCCACGGGCTAATAGTTGAACAGTCATGACTTCTCTTAAAACTTTTATAAATGAACATAGTATACTTGGCAGAAGAGAGGCTGCAGGCTTGTGTTATTTCCAGGTCTCCTTAGATGAATTAGGTCCTGTTATCTTTTGCACATCCAGCCTAGAGCAGCGGATGACCTTACAGCTTTCGCCTCCTAATGGCCCACTGCGTCTATCAATGAGCAGTCTTGTTAGCGCCGCGGGCTAAATCGAGCTAGCATTTGCACACATAAGAGTATTATTATTATTATTATTAGTAGGACCATGCAAGCGAAAAAAAATAAGTGAATATACCCATCTCACATTTCATGGTATACCCCCTGGAGCAGGAACACGGAGCACAGATGATTGCTCTGCAGAGGTTTATGGCGAATGTCTCATGGCCGGGAAATGTCAGATTTGTTATTATACTTTATGGACATGCTTCGGAACGAGCGCTCGAGGTGTAGGACCGACAATTGATTTCCTTCCAAGTTGTTAAAGTAACTTGAGCGTAGCGCAATTAAGTACTCACGTGGTATTTAATATATGATAATTAGGTATAATAGCATATTGTAATTTTGTTTAATGGGTATTTCACACTTATCTTGATGCTTGTTGCAGTGGAAATCCCAAAGTGTATATCACTAAAAGCTGAAGAACTTTTAAACCACACACATTTGAATAACACCCATTTCCTAAGTTTCTAGCTCTCAACTGCTCACTGGTTGGTCTTTTCACTGCAGATCTGAGTCTCAAAGCGGTTTACAATTGTTAATTTTGGGCACTTGTCCACTCACTCCACACAGAGATGGGAGTGGGGTCGCCAGTACAGGAGGCACATGCCAGAACTATTGGACATATTTTTAGTGGTAGGGAAACCGGAGTACCCGGAGGAAACCTACGCAGACACGGGGAGAACATGCAAACTCCACTCAGAAAGGCCCTGGTCCGACCGGGATTCGAACCCAGGACCTTCTTGCTGAGAGGCGAGAGTGCTATCCACTCAGCCACCGTGCCGCCCGCCTGTGATATCCATAGACTGTACATATTAACAGTCTATCTCTTATATAAACGAATGGGCTTTTGCCTTCTACGGGCCTTTTCAAAATGGCCGCCTGTAGACGTTTTTGAGAGGAAAGAATGCGCCATACAAAAGCATTGTGTAATTCTGTTTCTGGGTACACCCCCACCGACTCGGAGAGAGATTGCAAGCATGTCTGTCACTCCAAATCGTGCAAGTTGTATGTAGATTTGTTCAGTAGATCAGTCATAGTGGGAGGAATCAAACAACTTTTATTCGTAGACCGCCTTTCCTACACAAGGCAACACAATGTACCGTACCGTTTGACATCAAGTTGTGTGTTCTTGACCTCTGCTAACTCGCTAACTTTGCTCTCTCTCTCTTTCAGGTGAAGCGGTTCATTTAGCCAGAGACTTTGGTTACGTGTGCGAGACGGAGTTTCCAGCCAAAGCCATCGCAGAGTACCTGGGCCGGCCGCACGTGGATCGCAGCGAAGTCAACTCTCGAAAGAACATGCTACTAGCTGCCAAGTGAGTGTCTATTTTGGACAGCCACAGATGTCAGATTTATTTGTTTAGCACATTGACAACAGCACCTGGTTCCCAAAGTGCTTCATACGCAAAAAATAAAAAAATAAATACACAATCAGCTTGAAATACACACAAATAAATGTATGTAAAATGTAAATCAGCAGAAGTAAATTGGTTTTAAAAAGTCAAGGCATACACATGTGTCTTTAGACTAGAATTAGATAAAATAAAAACTTAAAAATTAAGAAGCCACTCTAATGTTAAGAGGTAAAGTTTAGGAGCAGCAGCAGTAAAGGCCCAGTCTCCTCGAGTTTTGAGATGAGACCTGGTCATGTTCAACAAAAAGGTACTGATCCAAGAGGAAAATACAGAAAAATATAGTTGTGTCAGATATCTTGGGGAGAAGCCATTTAATCATTCAAAAACCAGCATAAAAATCCTTAAACCTACCTCGAATGTGACAAGAGGCTTGATGTAACGCCTGCTGAAAATCATATCGTCTCACACACCTCCCATGGTCTTGGTTTATCCTGTTAATGGTGCTTTTCAACAGAAATAAAGAACATAGAGAATCTATAGCCTTGAGAAACAGGAGTTGACAGTGTGTGATGCAATATGCAATCATGAAGGAGCATGTTTTAGTGCAGTTGTTCTAAACGGGTGGATTGGGAGCGTTTTTAATGGGTTACAAACCTTTCCCTGAGAACATTTCACTACACTGTAAAAGAAGTCACTAAGAAATAAGTAACGTTGCCCTTGATTAAGAAAGTAATATCAAGAAATGTGTCCCAAATGCAAGTGTTAATACTTAAATCAGGAAATGAATCTGAATCCACTGATATGTAGATACAAACTTGATGTGAATTATACACTTTGGCCCATTGGTAGATTTCTTATTTTACCTAATTCAATTTCCTCAAAAACAAATGCACAATAATCTCTCATTTGATTTTGAAAAATGGAAAAAAATCACATAAACAGTAATGGATTGAAACAGGGTTGGATGAAGCAGGTTGGTGTGTTCAAACCAGATAATGTTTTTAAATGATTTGTCTTTCTTGATGAATATACAGTACTTTCTGGACTAGTAGGCGCACCTGTTTATGAACCTAAATTTGAAAAGAAAGTAAACTGTGTCGATAAAGAAGCCTCACTTAAGTATCAGCCCTTTGTATCAGAGGTTTTCATGTTGTTAGCCAGTATATGTATATGCCCGTTATATGCAGCTAACGGGAATAACAGTAACATGATTAAATGACAAGGTAAATATTATCTCAGAAAGTTTACCATAACTGTCAGCATGTTGTGACTCATTTACCAATCTATTTTGGCTATTAACTTGAAAATAGCAGCGGCTTACATTCCAGAAAGTACAGTATGCGTTCAGAAAACAGTTAATGAGATGCATTTGCAAGTTTGACTAAAACAACTTTCTCTTCTGCTTTTCAGGCAAATCTGCAAAGAGTTCACTGACTTACTAACCCAGGACCGTTCCCCTCTGGGTAACTCCCGCCCTGCACCCATCCTGGAGCCGGGCATCCAGGGCTGCCTCACCCACTTCAGCCTCATCACCCACGGCTTCGGAGCGCCCGCCATCTGCGCCGCCATGACCTCCCTTCAAAACTACTTGAATGAAGCCCTCAAGCAAGCGGACAAGATGTACCTGAGCGATAACCAAGGCTCCTCGGACAGCGGCAGCAAATCCTCCGACAAAATGGACAAGCACAGGAAATGAGAACTGCCATGAACTTGTGAATTTTTGGGACTTTTTTGTGTGTGAGTAATTTGTATTGTGCTATTGAGAGATACCGATTGATTTAGATGCAAATTGAGGATTGCCGAGCACAGTCGAATGCACTGCTGTTACAAACGTGAACTTGCGACCGTAGGACTTGTACATTGTCCGCAAAAGACATTTTTTTTTTCTCCACATAAGAACATTTCAAAGCAAAACTCGTTGCTGTGAACCTACCCTCCCCTCCCGCTGCTGTCTGGAGGCAAATCCACTGATTTCCTGTGTCTCAATAGACAGTAGTTTTACCAGAAGAGAGAAGACAAACTATTCATTCCTTTTGTGTGTTGGAATCGTAGGGCCACTTCAAAAATGGCTCCAGTGTTATCGTACAATGTTCAAGAGTGTCGGAAATCCGTTACTTCAGTATTCAATGTTGTTACAAGCAGTGGCAATGCAAAACTACTGCTGTTTCTTCTATTTAAAGTTGCCAATACCCACGTCCTTCCCCCTGTATGCATGTATGGTATGTATGTTGCGTGAATGCCCTATTATTGTACATATTTCCTTCTTTGCAAATGTTTTAATTGGACATTAAATTTCCAACATAGAAATGTGTCGGTCCTGGGTGTAAATATTTTCTAATTTATGTTGTAATTTAACGGGTTTTATGTAAATATGAATAATGATTCTATGCCAACCACTACATCGTGTTTTCTAAGTGGGTAGCATTTGTTTTTTTGTTTTTTGTTTTTATATGATGAGTTGTAGAATTTAGAAAAACAGGTCTGAATTTTGGAATTATGTTTAGAAAATAATCTAGGAAATAAAATCAATTTCCCTTACGGAGTTGTTAAGAGTTGTTAATGGATGGTAGTGTTGTTCTGAAAGTCCCGCTTGGAGGGTGTGATGCTGTGGTCATGTGATTAAGGCTGTAAAGGGTTCGAAGTCCTTACAGCTAATAGAGAACAGTGGAGACCTTATCCACTCTTGCTTCAAAAATAGACAGTGTTTGGTGAAGAACAACCTCAGAAGAGCATCTTGTGATAATCAGACATACTTAACCCAAGGCAAAGATGTCATTTTAACCCGTTTTAATACATTTTCACTCAAATCAACGCAAGAGGAACATTTCCGATCGGAGCTGTTAATGCTGGTTTGGTTTTGGGTATCTGTTGAACCTGGTTTTTGTTAAAGGTTCCTGAATGATACTTTTTCCGACCGTGTTTACCTGCAAGCGTTCCTCCAAGCTTAAAGGTATACAAGAGAATTTTCCGAAAATGTAGGAAAGAACCGCCCTCCACAAAGCAAACGCCTATGGTCACGACGGCCTCTGGTCACATATCACCAGAATGATTGACAGTTAGGACCCACCCCGGAAAAAGAAAATAATCTTAAATACCTTTAAATAACATAAATTACTACTACTTTTAAAATGATTGCTTACAATGATTTGTCATTTGCCATTTTTGTCTCCGCTAATTTTGATTGGCCAGTAACAACGACCTATTTATTTCAATTTATTTCCACATTAAAAAGGATAAAAAATAAATGAAATATCAACAATTAAAAACAAACATGAATATATAAAAGGAACGGTGACGTATTTATCTTTGAGCGGACAATGCAGTCAATCCTGTTGCAATTAAGCTGTCAACATATGGTTTAACTGCATTGTTGGCCTCACAAGGTTTCTCACAGAAATGAAGTGAATTGAAGAGAATAGAGGGAAGCATTTATTTCCCATTCACTTTTAAATATCACTCACGCAAAATAATGCACAGTGTGAATCAAGCAAGATAATGATGAAAAAAAAAATCACTAAAACCCTCAGAAAGAGACTGTTTGCTTGACAATGTGTCTCATCGGCCAATATTTTCAGGAGAGAAGAAGCTGGAACATGGTGTTGGGCGGTCAGAGGACTCATTTATTATTCATAGACCTCTGTATAAGGATAGACGGACGTTGTTTAGAGATCCTTTGCATTTGCCTTGGTGTTATGTAACATCATTGAAATGCTTGAGTATACTTTTGTGCATGTTGGTAGAATAGAAAAAAAAAAGAAGATTGGTGGGAGGTGGCCCTGCTTTGAAGACATAGACTGTAAATATGAACAGATGTAGTCACTCATATCTCCACTGTTGAAACTAACGTGTCATCAGTTTTGCCTTCTATGGGCTTTTTAAAAATGACCGTGGGGCAGGATAATGTTATAAAACAGTCTATGGAAAAAACACATATGCGCATGCGTTAGTTGCACTTGCCTCATTCATTTAAGTGAATTCAAAAGTCCACAGTGGTTAAATTAGACTGTTCCAAAAAAAATAACTCCCCTCATGATTGACAGTATCTTAGCCCAAAGAGCAACTTTTGGACCATCTTGTACACTGTTTTGGAGAGGAAAGAAGACGCCATACAAAAGCATTGGGTAATTCTCTTTCCGAGTACACCCCCACCGACAAGGAGTGATATTTCAAGCATGTCAGCGTACACACTCATGGACGTTTTGCAGCCGGGACCTGCCCCCACTGTTTGAAGATCAACATGATTTTAATCTCACTATTTCACGCATATAGGTTCAAGGTGAGTTTGAAGTTGGTCAAAACAGAGCCACCTTTTCACAAACCCTGTGTTTCTCGGCCTGATGACTCGTCGTTATGGAGACGGTGGTGCGTTTGAACCTAAGACAATGCAAGTAGCAGAGCATTACAGAGACAGTGGATTATTGTGACAAAGCATTGTGTGAGATGAGACCAGCCGCTGACAGACACACTTCAAATAGACGCGCTGTGATCATTTGGAATCTTTGGGCACTCTTTTTGTAATTATAGGTAAGAAACGACTGACAGTTACTAGTTGCAGGTGTTTTCTATAGATTTAAATCTGTAGGAACGATCAGTTTGATTTGCAAATAAGATAAGTTAGTCCTTTATTCATCCCACAGTGGGGAAATTTCAGGCCCTGTTTATACTGAGACACTGCGCAGACGTTTCCAGGCTGTTAACAGAAACGACCTGGCTCCTAATGCAAATTTCTCAGCGTTCACATGAGGTTGAAAAACGATGCAGTTCTAGCGCCCGGCCAGTAGTGGGCAGAGAAACTTTACAACACGACACACGACCCCCAGCCCCGTGCCCAGCCCCCCTCCCGGCACTATATTCACTTACTGTGCCAGACCCTCAGAACGTACCAACATCATTCTGCATTTTAACAGCAGCTGTGAAAATGGGAACTGAACCTAGAGCTTCGCGTGGTCTCGTTTGGAAGAAAGAAGAAGTAGAATTATCCTCTGTGCTGTGCTCGAAGCCCACGTAGCTAGTTTTTGTGCGCGGCGCCATTGTTGTTGATGTTTGTTCTCCGCTACTGCGCATGTCCAAATTTACGTGCAGGAGCAGCGCGGAGGTGGGGGTCAGAGCAGAGGGGGATTTCACACCTTTTCCCCTCTCGCGGATGTGAAAGAGAGCCCCCGCTGTGCAGCGTATCTGAGTTGTCCCACTCTGCAGGCTGGATCTGAACACTTACGTTTTCACCCCCCTGGAACACAGTCTTCGTATGAACGGTTGGTAGAAACCGTTTTACTGCCACATTGTCTCCGTGTAAACTCAGCCTCAATGTCTTTGTTGTGCACATTACAGCAGAGGAAGAATGAAACAAGAGCACTCAGATTGCACACATCAAACAGAATCTATCATTCAAGATACCAAATAATACAATTAAGATAAATAATACAATAAAACTTAGGAGCTACTGTATATCCAGAATTTGTATAGAAGTTGTACTTTGTGCACACCACACAATTAAAAAGAGGACAATAAGTTAAAGAACCATAGAAAGCATGTGACAAGTGCGTAATCACACTGTAAGCATCAATGGTTTAGGTCAGGCATGTCCAATGCACTCGTCCAATGTCATCAATGCACAGTTGCCATAATTATCTAAAGCCAGGTTTTTTTATCATGAAAATATATTTTAATAATAGGACATTATCTAATTAAATAACATTTGTTTTTGGATTTGAATTTTCAGTTTTCAGTGATCCGTTTGTAAGAACTGACAGTATTTGCAAATTAGAGTGCGGACATCGATGCAGCTTGTATGCTTCTAAAAGAAGTGGACTTGCCCATGTAGTGTTACAACTTACTTTAAAGGACTTTTTTTTTGCTGATAAACTGTATAAATGAGTGTCCAATAGTGTTGTCTACATATCCTGGTCATATTTTTGTCACTTTGGTGCAAATTAGTTGAAAGTTAAACTTTCTGCCTAAAACCGTCTGTGAGGCGCCATCTGCTGGCGACCTTTATTACTACATTTGAATTTTGAATCTGGCGCCAACACTGGCGCGGCAGCAAGACCTGACGTCTGAAGCAAGACCTGACGTCAGCAGCCCCCCGCCCAGAGCAATGTAAACGGCCCAGTCTCGTTCACGCCCCCTTTAGTCCTCCAGGCTACGCCCATTTAGAGGAAGATTTCAACAGGAAATGTGAGTGAAGTAAGCTCCGAGGAGCGGGGGTGAGAACCACTTTAACTGTTAATTATGTGTTATCATGCCCTGTGCTGCTCAAACAAATTGCCCCTGGTGAGATGAATGAATGCGCCTAAATCTGACTCTGAATTATGGAGTTCCTTGGGCGCGGAGGGGGAAAGAAAATCTGAACTTCCTTCTGTCAGAAGATGCTTTTGAATGGGTTATTAAATATGATTTTAGAGATAATGGTCGTATTGGAGCTGTTCCGTCACACATAGTCTCTCCATGTCTTTGTTGGTTTCCTTCAGGAGTTTTCCCTATCACTAAAAACATGAACACTTGGTAGAAACTTGCATCTCCGATGGTCCTGACCATACAATCGTACTTTTCATTTCGTACTAAGGTCTGGATTTGCTTAATTGACTTGATTTGCAAAATATTCAATGGTTTTGTTAAGTCCTCCGAGGTGACTTCTGTTGTGATTTAGGGCGCACAAGAATAATTGTAAAAATTGTAACTCGTTACATACACACCTAT